TTACACTGTTCCGCCTGTCCTTAATGTTTTAAATTCACTTTTCATAATTTTAATGCTGTATATATAGGCTTACATTTCTCAAATAGTGTAATAAATGTCTTAATTTTAGTTTAAATAGGTCTTAAATTAAGGAAAGACAAAGTGTATTCAGCCTGCTGAGGAGGATGTGATCAAAGCCTGGAGTGGAGCGAATGCACGTTCCTCTCTCCACTCTAAGCATTTTGTTATCACTCCGGTATGGATCCACTCCTGGTTTTGGTTTAGTTTTGAAGAAGTACATGTCAGGCTACGGCTGAGGTATAACTATATTTAAGATAGCATGGACACACTTATAATGCAGGAAGGCTCCGATGTTTCGGAGATTGATAAAAGTGTAAAAAGTAAATGGAGATGGGCTTGGCTTAGCGAAATTGGGGAGAATGGCAAGCCTTTTAGTTCGTGGGCTAAAAAAATCAAACAACCAGGTACGTGTCTTTGCATAGTATGCCACAGGAAACTTCAATATGGCAATAATGGAAAAAAAGTGCTAACTCGCCATTAATCAGAAGCTAGTCACAATGCTGCCGTTCGTGCTCTACAGTACACATGCTCCCTGCCTGGTGCGAGAAGTACCACAACGGAGATTCATGCATCTATGGCCGACCGTGTGTGCGATGTAAAAGTGCGCATATGTTCTTTCATAGCGGAGCATGACCTGTCGTTCACAGTCTCACAACCGCTAGTTAATTTAATGCAATCAGTTGTCAAAGACAAGAGTGCACTTTCAAGATTGTCTATGTCTAATGCACATGCCTCCTACTTGTGCACACATGGCATTGCTGCTTATTGGAAATCCGAATTGTCATCTAAGCTGAAAACGAAGATGTTTTCTTTAAATGTAGATGAGGCAACAGATGGAAACATGGACAGGATTCTGAATGTTCTTGTTCGGTACTATGATGAAGATGTGGGAAAAGTGGCAACCCAGCATCTAGCCTCGAGGAAACTGAATATTGCAGATGCCTTAACAATCACAAAAACATTTTTTTCCTGTTCATTATTAAGAGTTTCACAAAACATTGTTTGGTGTTATAAGATAAATAAAAACATGCACTGAAAAGATGTGTGGTAGATGGTTGATTATTTGTCAAGGTATATTTTTTTTCAAAGATTACAAATAGCTTTTAAAATATGCAAACTGGCAATATTAAAGCGGTTTAATCTCCCCTTAAAACGCTATTGGTCTCGACTATTTAAATAAAGTGTTTGTTAAAGGAATATGGCTTGGCCTGAAAAAAGTTCAGTCAGAAGATTTTTTTTCACTTTAATCCCTGCATTTGGTTTTTATATCCGGTTCGCGCAAATTAATACTGTGATACTTGCACTCGTACTGCTGCATAATGCCGCTGCACACATACTGCTATTTACACTCTTCATTCTCTCAGTACTGTTTACTCCTTTTATCTTGCCCAAACCGTCTGCTAATGCTATTCAATGAATTGCTTTTTGTACTGTACTGGTTTTAATGCTGCTTTCATTATTTATTTACTACTTACTGCCTTTTCTATCTTTGTGCTCTACTTCTAGTTAATTCAGTGTTTCCCAACCAGTCGTCGGGGCACACTGGACAGATCCACATTTTTATTTTATCCCAGTTCCCAGCACACCTGTAAGGTACTTAGAGCTCCTGATTGCTTGGGTCAGGTGTTCTGGGAACTGGAATAAAACAAAAATGTGTATCTGTCCAGTGTGCCCCGACGTGGTCCAGTGTGCCATGTGGACTGGTTTGGGAAACACTGAGTTAATTTATTGTCAGTAAATTGTACTGAGTACGGAAACTGCAAGCTAAATCTTGCTGTATCTCTGCAGTGACAGGTGTACTTGTGCAGTGACAATAAAGATATTCTATACTGTTCTATAAATATTAATATATAGAAGTACTATTGAAGGCTCAAGAACTGCACTTAAGTGTGAAGTTGGGGTTCACGGTTCTGACATGTGGCTTTAAAAAGGAGAACCGCAACCCAGAGCACTGGTACAAAAGAAAACAAGAAATAAACAGTTTTTTTTCTGGGAATACCTACCCAGATTGGGTGGTGGATGCAAAGTGAGATGTTACACATCCATCTGCACATTGAAAATGACCACGGAGTGTGTATCTATAGGGCACGCCCTGTCTATATCTGTGTCAAAGCTGTGCGTGTGTGTGCGTGTGTGTGTGTGTGTGCCTGCCCGCTCCAGTCCTTCATGTCTTTTTGAGCCAGAAGTTTAACCGGTGGTGCAGATTTGTGGTTGAGATGCCCGTGATAAAAGATGGCTGAGATACACATACCTTGTTAGTCAGACCTGTATGACTGAGATCATCAGGGATGCTGGAACTCGTGGCCCGTATTTATAGGCCAGCCGACAGCGCACTCATTAGTACCTGCAGAAAATAGAGAGAGAGAGAGAGAGAGGTCAGCACAGTGATGTCACCATTGGGCCCTTAACCCCCAGCTGCTCCAGGGACTGGCTGATCCTGCCTTCTCAATAATGTACATCACTTTGGATAAAATCATCTGCAGAATCAGTGATTCTCAACTGGTTTGGCTTTAGGCCCCATGTTATTCCATGGTCATTATGGCAGGACCCGCATTTTCCAGTAATAGTGAGCAGAATATGGCTTAATAATAATAATTGACACTTTTATTAATCCCCGTGGGGAAATTCTTTTTTTACCCCTCCCTCAACTTGCTCTTTGTAGAGCAAGCTGTCCGCGAAGGGCAGCCACCTGTAGCGGTGCCCAGGGAGCTGGGGGTTGAGGGTCTTGCTCAAGGACCTGCAGATGTGCTGAGGCTGGGCTTGAACCGGCGACCTTGTGATTATAGGCACATGGCTTAGCCCACTGAGCCACAAGCTGCCCTAACAGGCCTTGTGCACTGTTCATAATTTTTTTTAAAAGTTCAACATTAGAAAAAGTTTCCAAATAATATTTTTAATCACACACTCCATGGCACATTGCTAATGGTCCCACAACCCACCAAATGCTTGTAAAGGCAACTGCAAAAAAGCATCATCTCCCACTTTGGGCACAAGTCACATGATAAACACTGTTTTACACGCCACCCTGATGCTCCTGTCAGCTGATTCACCCCCTTATTCTCCGCGCGTCAGCTGCAATTAGCCAGGGAGGAGGCAGCCGGCCTTTTATGGCAGTGACCCGCCATGCAGATTTTTCTCTGGAACTTTTCCAGCCCATTTTGGAGACGTTTTCTGTGCCATTGCGGAAATCAGCAATCCGTTTTCCATTCTTTTGGCAAAATCGAGAAATGAAAAGCCTGTTTCATCTAATCATGTTAATAGCAGACCTATTATCACGGTTGCTTTAAGCACAGTCTGGTCGATGCTTTTTGCAGTAACGGTTTCTCCTGCAAACCCAGCTCTGCCAGAACAGAATCCATATAATCTTACTTCTACAAGAGCAGTAGCATGTGGGTTGTGGCCGTAACTGGACCTCTCCATCCACCTTGCAGGTCGTGTCCAGCAGGAAGCTGACCCGACCACTGGTACTGAAGAACAAGCGACCCGCAGGCAAAGGAACCATCACGGTGGGTGAGGACCTGTGACTGGATGGGGAGGAGCTGAGGAGATGATGTCACAGAATGGCACCACCCACATGGCTGGGCAAGTTCACTCTAAGACAGGGGTGTCAAACTGCAGTCCTGGGGGGCCGGAGCCTGTGTAGCTTAGTTCTTTCCCTGTTCCACTACAAATGATTCAGCTCAACAGCTATATGGTAATTAGCACAAGAAGTTGAATCAGGTGTGTTAAACGAGGGGAAACACAAAAATGTGCAGGGCTCCGGCCCTCCAGGACTGGAGTCTGACACCTGTGCTCTAAGAGAACCATCATAAACACACACCAGTAACAGCAGCACATTTCAGAGCAGTATAACTGTGAACTAATACGTGACAAAACGGGTAGGGTACCATATATCCGGGCCTCTCCGGGTGATTTTTCAGAAATCAAAGGTTTGTCTGGGTTTAGCACTGCAGCCCATATGACCCAGTGTGGCAAGTTACGGTGCAGTACAAAGTGGAATAAAAGGGACCAATTTTCAATATACAACAGCCACTCAGTAACATCACACAGCATTTGCAAGGCTCCTGTACATGTGTACTTCAAAAATTAAATTATATACACATCCCTATGTGTCACGCTGCTCACGAGTGACATCAATTTCCAGAAACCATTGGCGCTTTGGCACTTAATTTTTTTATTGTGTGAGCAGCAAATCGCTTCGTTTGCAGGGCTGTAGCCAGCTATGAGGTCACCAAGGTCTGGACCTTGGTAATTTTTTTAAGAGCTAAATATTCACCTGAATAAAAAAATCAGCAGTTGAAAATGTCTCTGGGTGAGGTGCTTTCTTAATTCAAATATGTTTATTAATAGTGTCTACTATTGTGTGTGTGTGTGTGTCAGAGAGAGAGAGAACTAGAGGATGTGTATGACCCTGCAGCACTGTGAGGGTGGGTGTGCAGGTAGCATATCATTCAGTAAGATGATCACTATTTGTGGAAAAACGTTCCAAAACAGCAGCCTGCTATGGCGTCTGCAGTAAAGATAATTGTATGAAACATGTAAAATATAAGGGCAGTGGTTAGTACTGCTGCCTCACAGCAAGAAGGTCCTGGGTTTGTTCTCGGATCCTTACTGTGTGGAGTTTGCTGGGGGCTCCGGTTTCCTCCCACGGTCCAAAAGCGTGCAGGGTAGGCTGATTGGTATGTCTAAATTGGCCCTGTAGTTGTCTGAGCGTGTGTGCCCCGCGGTGTGTTGGCGTCTGCCCAGGGTTGGTTCCCACCTGCACCCATTGTTCCTGCACCCCCCCGTGACCCCAGTTGGGATTAAGCGGTTACAGTGATGGATGGGTAGATGGATGTAAAATATAAGCATAGGCCAGGATGCTCTGACCATGTTAAAGGTTGGGTTTCTTTCATATTACGCCTAATGGGCTACATTAGGCTAAGTAACGTTTCACATGATGTCATTAATAAAAAAATTATAATAATAAACAGCTTATGAAGGGGACAGTATCAGTAATAGTGTCCTGAGAAACATTTCAAAGCCAAATTTGGATATCAACGCAAGTGTATTTGATGTTGGCTTGTAATGGTGTGTTAATATCAAGCATTTCTTTTATTTTTATCTTTATATATCAAATAACCTTAAATTACATGCTTTATACCCATAATATTTTACTGCTCTGTAATGTTTTTTTTATGACGTGAACCATAATCATTCAGCAAGGCACATTCATATAATAGCTGCAACCTTCATTGATAATTTAACACTGCCTCTCCCCCAGAAAACAAGCTGCACAGAGCATGGCTGACATATCAAAGTGAAAACAAAGTGCATTGCATACCTTTCTTACAAAGAAGCCTAGTTTACATCAGAATTTGTGTTTTCCAGATATTCAACATCAATAAAAATGTGTTTCTTGCAAATAGAACTAGACCTTTTGAGTGTAATGTGACCCCATCTTCTTTCAAACATAGGGATGCCAACTCTGTGCGTCTGGCGTGACAGTCACACTTTCAGATGCTCACGCAAGAAATCTTACAGCAAATTCATATTATTCCATTATAAACCTGAAATTGGCTAGATCAAAAGCACTGGGGTAGTTTGTAAACCCTACAGACTATTTACAAGGTAATAAACTCTTACATACATGTAAATGTTTGCAGGCTTGTCTTAAATTGAAAATTTCATGCCAGCCAGCTCACCAAATTTGGCAACCCTGAAGACTGGTTAGGGAAAGCTCATTAATATTCATAAGAGAAGTGCTACCTGATTGGTCTGTGAATCTGTGACCTCATTAATATTCATGTGAGTATCGCTACCTGGTAGGTCAGTGAACGTGAAAACTCATTAATATTCTGATTCTTTTCACCAAATATGGTAACCCTACTTAGGGGGACAGAGCTGATGGATGTGGGGATTTCATATATAAATTAAAACTTAAATATACATAAAGCCATATTAGTTTTCCTTGCTGAAGGTTGATACGGTCCTAAATGCAGAATTTACATAATGTCAGGATGAAATTAGCATCTACATTATATTCCATAACCAAAAATCCTATTTAACAGTTAATAATAAAATAAAATATTTAATGGTCACAGGTTAGACTGTAATTAGACTGAACCGATTTAAAATACATTTCAAAGGCCTCTTACAGTATAATATTAAGAACTGCTGCTCTGGGTGGTGAGCTTCAGTGAAAATGCTGATTTAGCTTTGAATTTGTTGGTTTTTGTAGATTTTTGCAGAAGAAATAAAGGACAACAGGGTGGTGAATTTCGAAGTGGAAGCCAGGAAACTGGACAACAAGGTAATAAACCTATGGAAACCCGATTCCGCTGGCTGCTTCAACGCTGCCATTTTTGGGGGCGCAGGTGGAGGCAGCGGCAGACAGGAACGAAAGCGAAAACAGACAACCTTTCAGGGAAACGTCAGACAGATATTGATGGAATATGACAGAAAAGCATTGAAATACACTGGATTCACTGAGGTTATAACCATCCTCCCTTTTTGATGTCTCAGGATTTTTTCGGGAAGTCGGACCCTTACTTGGAGTTCTACAGGCAGACAGAGACGGGTTGGCAGCTGGCCCACAGGACCGAGGTAATGTCCCGTACACCTGACAGTTGACACCTACGTGTCACATATGTGTCACTCTCATTTTCTAATTATTTCCATTGTGGATTTGAAAAGTCAGTATTATTCTGTTATGCTAATTAGTACCTGCAACAAATAAATCTTTATGATTATAATATGTCTGTGGTTCTGTCATCCAGGACATGATAATCTTAAGGGTTCTAGTTGAAGGTAATTGGACTTCGGTTTGCAATTTCTCAAAGACGTTTCACCCCTCATCCGAAAGGCTTCTTCAGTTCTAAAAGTCTGACGGGGAGTTCCAGGTATTTATAGTCGAGTGCACTACAAAAAAGTGCACTAAAGAAGTCCAGTTGCCTTTGATTGAAACCCTTCTGATAATTCTAATAGTTTTAAAGGTTAAAACGAAAGGGCGCTTTGAAGGGTGATGATGGGAGGCTAGGCAGGCTCCACCCTGACTGGGTACGTTAAGGCGAGATGTTCTCACTCTCGCGTCAGGTGATCAAGAACAACCTGAACCCCACCTGGAAGCCTTTCCAGATCCCGCTGCAGGCTCTGTGTGGGGGCGACATGGAGAAGAGCATCAAGGTGAGTCTCGTCACCAGCGTCACCTCCACCTGGCCACTGTGACGATGGTCCTGTACTCACACTATTTACTAAACACTGTAACACTGATTGCATTTCATAATCGCATTCCTTCCTGTGGGGCTGAATGTGCGATGAAGGCTTGTTTGACATGTTCTATTCTGGATCGTATCTAAGGTGGCTTTGCAGAAGCTTTCGGGTGGCTTTTCTGGTTGGAGGTCTGGCTGTCTGTAGCTTGTCGGTTTACCTTGAGCTCGTACTGTTATTTGCCTGGTATTGCCGGCCGAGTACTAATGGACTTTATTTATTGGCTAAAGCAGCCTTAAGGAGGTATAGCCCGCCCCCCAGAGGACATCAAGTAAGTTGCTCTGCTCTGTGTGCCATTCATTGTTCTTTCTCTGCTGTTGGGCTTTGAGCAGCAGGACTCAGGTGCTGTTGGTTGGACGCCTGCCTGCTGCAGACTCCTGAAAGCTGTGATTTCGTCATGTTACAGCTCAGTGTCATCCATTTGGTCCCAGATGGTGGAGCTGCTGTTCTGTCTGTTCTGCTTTGCTGTGTGTGTTGTCTCCATGGATAGTTACAGCATGCGGTGTGTCCAGACAACCCCATTACTTTAGTGTAGATGAAAGCTTTTTTTCCCCTGCCAGAAGGAGGCGCCAATTCTTCACCGACCACATTCTTTGGCAGGTGGAGTGTTATGACTATGACAATGACGGGTCACATGACCTCATTGGCATCTTCGAGACCAACATGACGCGGCTGCTGCAGGCTTCACGCGTCGCGCCGGTGAGTCATGCCATCAGTACTGGTACCAGGCCCATCTCTGGGTTGCCATGTCCCCACCTCTCACCACCTGTGACTCTCCGGCTGCCTCTTAGGCGGAGTTTGATTGCGTGAACAGCAAGAAGAAGCAGAAGAAGAAGAACTACAAGAACTCAGGCGTGGTGAGCGTGAAGCTCTGCCAGGTAGGCCCCTGTCGCCCCGCCCACTTCCGGTCACATGGGCATCACATGGGCTGTGGAATGTTCTCTCACCCCTTCCTGCCTCCTTCACACAGGTGGTGAAGAGGTACACATTCCTGGACTACATCATGGGTGGATGCCAGATCAACTTCACAGTGCGTTATGGGTGCTGATGGGATGGGGAAATTGCCCCAGTGGGATGGATTACTGCCAGGGACACTCCTGCTTATAGTCTCTCCCTCTCTCTCCCTGTCTCTCTCTCTTTGTCATTCCTTTTTGCTCTCATTCACTATCTCACTCCCTTCGTTTATTTTTTTGAGCATTACACTGAAGCAACAGGGGTAAGAAAAACAGGAAGTAACTGGAGGGAATAGTGAAGTAGCACTTGGGAGAAATTATTTTTCTTGGATAGAATGGAAATGCTGACATTATGCCCCATTCTGCTCTGGGTTACACTGTTAGGGATTAATCGTTCCTCCCGCCCGATCTGTATAATCAGATGGGTTGATGTTGTTCTCCATCCTCTCCCCCTCCTTGCCCAGGTGGGGGTGGACTTCACAGGCTCCAATGGCGACCCCCGGTCTCCAGACTCTCTGCACTACATCAACCCGCAGGGGCACAATGAGTACCTGGCAGCCATCTGGAATGTTGGCCTGGTCATCCAGGACTATGACAGGTTAATCCTAATCCTTTTTTGGAGGGGATACTTATGGAAACTTGTGGTGTATTAATAAAGGTTGTTTTTTTGCGGGGGGAGGGGGGGAGGCATCAGTGATGAACCCTCTGGAGCCTAGGAGTAGGAAACACACTTTCACTGACTGGGGCATGATCACACATTTCTTCAAATATCATAAACTTAATTCATGGCAAATAAATTATTTCTTATATATTTGTTTTGCCATTATACTCATCTTTATTTTAATATATATTGTAAATATGTCAGATTTTTGTTAAGTTTGAAATTTGACATCAAAGTATAGACATTGCAAAATGCAGTTTGGAACACTTGCAGAAACATTATAAAAGTACATAGTAAGCAATGCTGGCAGTTTGTTTTGATCCCAGATATCTGATCACCAAAGTCTTGGCTACATGAAGATGACTAAATGGTGTAGATGCAACATTCATTTGGATAAATAAATAAGAAAAACCTAACTCATGTCACTATTTCTGGCTCCTTTCATTGAATATGTAGCAACTTTCATGTGTATGAGCCATTGTCACCTGGCCACGTCCCCAACCCCCTTTTATGGCGCTGTAGGGGATGTATTTGGATCGCGTTTCACCGTTGCGCTGTTAATCAAATTACCATGCGAATGCGATTTGAATACGCGCTAATGCGGCTATTTAGAATGTGAATAGCGATCTTCGGGTGAGAGCGGTACTACATGCCCCCGATGCAGGTAAATCAAAGTAAGATGACATGGTTTACTTTTTTGCCGATTTAACCTAATTAAAAAAACTTTAATACTTCCGACAATGGACGTTTTGAAAAGAAGACAGATTACGGATTTAGCCAGCGTTTTTTTCATGATTCTACATTAAGATTTCAGCGAGATATAAACTGAAATAGACGCGAAAAGTACGCAATGTCGCCGACTACATACTCGACCCTAGAGAGTTAAAGAGGTTTTGGCATTCCTGTCAATAACAGGATGACAGTTTTCCATTTTCCATAGACCATTCTCTCCGGGAGCACAGGGTGCTTCCTGGATGGGCAGAGGTGGGTTTGTTGTTTTTGTGGCCCAACCTCAAAAAGTGACTTGCCTCCCCCCCCTGCCTTCACATGTTTCAAGCACTAAATAAATAGCTAGTGAGTGTGTAGCTGGTTAGCAGAACATGCTGCTTCAGCATATACTAAATAAGGGATGCAATGTTTATTTAATGTTTCGTGTAGTGACCATCTGTAGCTCAGTTCCTCTGGTCAGCGGGATTTTCTTCCTTCTTCCCTCAGTGACAAGATGTTTCCGGCGTTTGGGTTCGGAGCTCAGATCCCTCCCACCTGGCAGGTAAGATCATACGCTCACTCTGTTACTAAACTCGCCAGCCCTGTGTCCCATCCCCTGGTGGCGCTCACGCTCTGCTCCACGCCCCGCAGGTCTCCCACGAGTTCCCCCTCAACTTCAACCCCTCCAACCCGTTCTGTGCAGGTACTCTGCCGCTGTCGCTAAAATCTGCAGAGAATTAAGGTCTAAACCCATAAGCAGAAACCTTCATTCTTTTGTAGACCCTCTCTATCACTCTTTAGCTCATTTCTTAAACCTTGCTATTCAAGTGAAGTACTTCCCAAAGGTCCAATGGCCGACCCGCTTGAATGCTTCAGCATCTTAGAGTTGCTGAGGCACAGAAACCTGACTGCTTTCCTAAGTCAGGATGTCCCCTTGGTCCCAGAGGAGGCCAGACAGTGACTTGTGCCGTGTGCTGTTTCCCAGGCATCGAAGGGATAGTGGAGGCCTACAGGAAGTGCCTGCCTCAGGTCAGGCTGTACGGGCCCACAAACTTCTCACCCATCATCAACTCTGTAGCCCAATTTGCCGCTCAGGCCAGCCAGCAGAAAACTGCCTCGGTGAGTGTGTGTGAACAACACTGCCACCTGTCGGTGAAGTTGAAAATTACCTCTTATTTTCATGGATTCTCTTGCTTCCGTCAACCACACAGCAATACTTCGTCCTCCTCATTATCACCGATGGTGTGATCACGGACCTGGACCAGACACGTACGGCCATCGTCTATGCCTCTAGGCTGCCCATGTCCATCATCATCATAGGGGTTGGCAGCGCCGACTTCAGCACCATGGAATTCCTGGATGGTGATGACGGGACACTGCGGGCCCCCACGGGCGAGCCCGCCATGCGGGACATTGTGCAATTCGTGCCCTTCAGGAAGTTTCAGAACGTGAGTCGCACAGGGGTGTGAGCGGTTGGGGTGCGAGTTGCGAGCCCTTCTGCCGCAGCCTGTCTCTGCACTGTTGGTGTCGTTCTGTGTGGTGAGGTCACTGGCAATGCTCTAATGCAGTGGTTCCCAACCTTTTTTAACTCACGGCCCACACAGCCAAACACATATGTTTCCGCGGCCCACTGCAAAAGAATTTAAACGATCCCGCTTTTTGTGTCGGGTTAACTAAGTACTCGGAAGCAAGGCTGTTAATTGTCTTTATTGAATAAACTGGTAATTTATTTAATTATATATCAAATTATGATTTATTTGATTTTGACTAGACATTTTTTATTATATTAACAATATTACAATTTCTATTAATAATAATTGGCGGCCCCCCTGCAATACCGTCGCGGCCCACTAGGGGGCCGCGGCCCACAGGTTGAAAACCACTGCTCTAATGCTTTGCTTTCAAACTGGGCTTGAATCCATTCTTAGGGAATGGATCATCTTCTTGGCTGTGGTGATGAGGGGCTTCAGGGGAGTGGGGATAGCAGCCAGGCAACTGACATCACTTCTGATGGATGACAGAGATCTTTACAGACTTCTCACATTATCTGAGTAGCCTTCTCTGGCAATAACCTAACAGGACCCCGCTATTGTATGCCTGCTGTTTGGTGTGGTTAATGTGGTGTGGTTGTGGTCATTTACCACCATTATAGTTTGAATTACTAAACAATGCACTCTGGTATAGAATATATTTCTATTATATTTTTGAGCCCCTTCTATTACAGTGATAACAGACATTCACCCCATTATAATTTGAATTAAAATAAAATGCATTCTGGTATAGTGTATATTTTTAGTATATTTTTGAGTCTCTGCCCCTGCCCCCGCATCCCCCGCAGAGACTTTAACGGGCCCCCGTGTGTGTGTGTCTCATTGCAGGCGCCCCGGGAGGCTCTGGCCCAGTCTGTACTGGCAGAGCTGCCCCAGCAGGTGGTGTCCTACTTCACAATGCTGAAGCTTCAGCCCCCCCACGACCCCAGTCCCACATAGACATGTAGGCCAACCCCCTATTTTCATTTGCTTCTTCAGGCCATGCTGGGAATGCATGGCTGCAGAGTGCATTCACGCTTGCCCTCTTCCAGGATATTTCCTGATGTGAATAGTGAGGTGTTGCTTCACTATTCATTTACATTTATAAAACCTCCAGACACCTAGGAGGTGCCATTCCAGCACATGTGAATGCACCTACAGGTGTATTCTTTTCTCTGTATTACCCTCTTCCTGATGGCTGTGCTTCTTCTGCCTGGCTAGCTTCTTGCATCACGCCTGATTGTTGTATCCTTAAGTGACAATGAGCAGAACTGATCTGCCATTATCTTATCATGCTCCCCCTTCCCAAAACCCACAGCTGCTTGGCTCGCTCCTCTGCCAGCCTTTACCCCCCCCCCCCCCACTGCCAAAGGTCTGACCCCAGTCCTTCCCCCCCTTCTCCCCATAGTGCCCCAAGGAGGCTTTGGCCCAGAGCGTGCTGGCTGAGGTCCCAGGCCAGGTAATGGCCTATTTCAACATGGTCAACCTGAGCCCACCAAACAGCATCACTCCGCCGATGACCGAAGACCCGACTCTTCAGCGTTAACCCTGCCCCCACCGGCTGCTGGTCTGAAGTCCCCACCCGCGGTCCGGGATAAGCATGCCCCACGCCTGGTCTGTGTGTAATTATCTCACTTGCTCTTAACTCACACTCTTGTCTAAAAAAAAAAAAGCATCCCATCACATCCTCTTTTTGGCCTAATATCTACAGCCTTATTTTTATTAAGCCAAATGCCAAACAGTGCCAGTCACCAGGCATAATATAGCACAATAATGCTTCAAATAACCAAATGCGTTCAGAAAGCCAGGTGTATTATGGGAGACTCGAATGTAAAATGCTTGTGGACCGTCCTTCAGGGCCCCACCAGAGTTCAGACAGGTGTCCCTTTTGCATGAATCAGCCACGACCCAAGTGCCAGGCGCAACGGCCCCAACCCAAAAGCTCCTCCAAGCCAGTACTACCCGCTCGCCTATACCCCAAAGCTCCTACAAGCCAGCACTACCCGCTCGCCTATACCCCAAAGCTCCTNCCCCAAAGCTCCTACAAGCCAGCACTACCCGCCCGCCTATACGCCAATGCTGCTCCAAGCCAGCACTACCCGCTCGCCTATACCCCAAAGCTCCTACAAGCCAACACTACCCGCCCGCCTATACCCCAATGCTGCTCCAAGCTAGCATTACCTGCTCACCTATGCACACATGCCTATACCCATTTTTAATGCTATACTATCTTTATAAACTATTGTTTTTATACACCACATTATATTGTGCTGTAAAATAAATATGCCTTTGTTACTCCAATATATGTAGGTTATTTTTCTTATGGATGATCATTCAGTGTAGCTTTAGTTTTGAGGAGTTAGTGTCTCATGCTACATTTCAGTGCTATTTAGTCTATACACATTATTTAAGCCCCTATATAGAGATGTAAAAGCTAAAGATAATTAAACTTCAACTCAATACCGCAAATCGCCATCATTATTCTGCGATGGGTAGCTAAACGCCACTGACATTAATAATATTTAGATAATTTTTGAATAATAAAAATGAAATATCATTTGTCATAACCTTTCTGTATTCCCTTTTGTTTATGCATAACAAAGACTCTGGAAAACGATTTAACTGGAATTTAGTGAGAACTGGTTTGACCGAGTTAAAGTACCTATCCACAAATGATTGGGTAGTAATAAAATTAGAAATGTCTTTCGAAAGTCGAATTTTATCTTCTGATTAAATTTACATTTTTTTTAAAAATATGACTGGTACAAGTAATCTGTCCATCAAGCTGAAATGACCCAACAGTTTAAAGGAAATGAATGCATTCCAATCAAACCTGTTCTGTGGTTAACTTTCCATATGTTAATGTCAGTAATTCTGCAGATGTGGGCGGCTGTCTGTCTTTGATGTGCCTGATTTTATGGGCGTCTGAACCTAAGCTGGTTGTCTTTAGCTGGTCTATTAACTTTCATTCACATCACCATTTAAACCTGAATCTATACAGTAACAAACTACCATAGTGTACAGGCATTTAGGTCATGTTACCATTCTCTTCCTAATATAATTATGAAATATGCCAAAATGGTTATTTGTATCTGAGAACTGGAGAGTGCTTGTTAAAATGTTCACATGTATGGGTCACCTGACTATCCGTTTGTCCCAGAAGTTGGTCAATCTCAGGCCAACAGTTCAGCTAGGCTGAAGAAGCACAGTACTTGAGGTCTCACAGAGCACTGTGTGTTATGTCACGTTGCTGAATAACACATCTAATGTGGGTTAAGTCCAACCACTGATGGATTTGTAAAGAATTGCAAATTCATTCCGACAGATGCAGTTTCCAAAACTCGCTCCTGCGTTGAAGTGTAGAGCCCCCTTGTCTGCTACTTGTGTGCATCTCCCATTGTAGCCTGTGTAGAAGAGTCACATGTCATTTCGAACGAATGGAACGAATTGGATGACATAAGCTGTCTCTGACATCATTAGGAATTAACGACAACTGTGATCCAAAAGGCAATTAGCTGGACTGGTGGCACCTTGATTTTCTCCAGGAAGCCTCCTTTCCTGAAGTCCCCAAAGGCGCGCAGCAACTTGGGAGTGGGCGGCTTCTCCGTAAATAAAGCCAGGCCCCTCCTCTGCTCCACCGGACCTGCAGGCACCGGGCCTTTGGCCTTGGTCAGTTTCCTTAAAAGGAAAAACCATCCATGCGTAATAGAGATCATCATAAACCAGGAGGCAGTTTCTTAGGCCGCCCAGCTTCACAGACTAACATCAGATCTCTACCTAACCTGCAGCAGGTGTCTGTCATTGACAGTGATCAATGTACCAGTCAGTGGATGAGGAACATCACCCCATGGCACTCCTGGCCAAAATCACCTACCATCCAGGTCACACACAACCACTAACTGGGAAGTTCTACTGGAGTTGCTAACACTGTTAATTCCAGCTACCTATATAAAGGTCCAGGTCAGAGCTAGTTGCAGTTATTATCCATTTATATGGCTAATTTAGTGAATATTATTGGTACAGTTCATATTATCCACAATACTCAGTTGACCTTCCTGACCTCATTGTGAAACTAGACATTTGACAGCCTCTGAGTTATGAATCTGAGTAATGAGTCTCCTGTACCATCCAAGTGCCCAACTGAATAGCCTAAATGAAAGATGAGGAACAGTATGGGGTAGAGCTGGGCGATAAATCGATTAATTCGAATTTACAGTTTAGGACGATGTGTTTTCATGAAAATCAATTTTCTTACTTTTTTTACACACGAGCGCCAAAAGCGGAACTAATGCGACGCACCATTCTTCACAGGTAAATTTTTCTTAACACTGGCAATTTCAAGCCCAATGGCATAAAGTATTTACTTAATACCAAGCTGACATGATAAAATTGTGTGTTTTTTTTCTATTATTATTACAATATTACTTATTACTTTTATTTATAAGTTTGAGGGCGTATTGTGTTGTTGCCAGTTTGAAAATAAGCTATAGAGAAAGCTTTCTAAAAGTTTTGACAAGTTTCTAAAAGTGTTTACAATGGCGTGGTCTGCCATCTCACAAGAACCTTTTATGGCTTGTCAGATTGCACTTTAACCCTAAAGTAAAAAAAAAGCTAAATAAAGTTAAAACTTGTTTTGAACCATTTTTGTCATCTGTAGTTTGATTTTGAGTAGGGGAGGGGAAAATCGATTAAAATCGGAAATCGGATTTTTTGTGAAAAAATCGGAGATTTTTTTTTTAGGCCATATCGCCCAGCTCTAGTATGGGGATTTCAATCATAATGATCAGCTGGACTCAGATTATAACCTTCTGGTTACATAAGCAGTTCCCTCACTTTACTTGCTTGCAATCTCACCTCCCCTTCCTGGCCAGGATCTTCTGTGATTCTGGGTAGTGCACCAGGATGTCATTGAGGTCCTTCTTGTCCAGCACAAAGAGATTGGCAAAGCCATAGGCAGCCACGTTAGCTGTCCGTCGGTTTCCACCGTTGGCTGCTGACTGTAGCAGGCTGATACAACAAACACAAGCTCGCTCAGACATTACCAAAAACATGGTGACCGCAGTATTGTGAGGAGAATTACTGAGATGACTGTACCTCTCTCAAACTAAGACAGCAAACTGATTTTCGCTGTCCTGAGGAGGCCACTACAAAGTAATTCTAGTTCAACTCCAGTTTCAATTTTATTTTATTAGCTCTCAAGCCTGGACAGACCCCCCCACCGATACAAGCAGTACCTGATCTCCCCGAAGACGCATCCAGCCTTAAGCGTGACAAACACTGTCTTATTGTCCGGCCCCCCCACCACCTGCACGGCCCCTGCCTTGATAATGTACATCTCCTTCCCGATGTCCCCCTGAGCAGAGGGGGTGGTGGGCAAAAGGTCTTTGTTTTAATCAAAGATGTAACAGGTTGAACAGTCAAAATCAGTGACTTATTGGCTCACCTTCTTGCACACAAAATCTCCAGGCAGATAAATGACGGACTTCAGTCGAAGTAACATGTCCACAAGCATCTGGTTATCGCAGCCCTGTGACAAGCAAAGATGGGTTTCGGCATTGAATAGTTGTGTGTGGCTTCTGCCTGGGGTCGGGAGATTTGGCATTACTCGCCTTGAACAGCTCTATCTTCTGGAAGGTGCTGAGGTTGATGTCCACAGCGATGGCTGTCCTCATGACCAGGGGCATCTGCTCCAGCAATTCCGATTCATCTGGGGGGGGGAGATGTTCATCTTAGTGTTCACATGTGCATGAAGTCTGCCTCTCCAGTGGTTTGGATGCTGATCTTCCTAAATCCATGGTTTGCATAGATTACTGGATTTGCCATATATTTACAAGATATGGGTAAACATCGATGCCACTCACTACATTTGGCTCTTGTACCCAAACTGTTGCTCCACAAGCACACTGCATTTTGGCATCACTGATGTTCATTATGGGACAACAAGGCAAGTGAGCTTAGTTAGGGTCAAACCAGTTAGATTCTTCTGCCCTCTTACCTAACATGCCCTGGGAGGCCCAGGTATAGTTGTACCAGGTGCGTACTCTGTTCTGGACCAGTTTGGGGATCTTATTGGTGTTCATGTAGGATACCGTATTGTCCATTGATGTACGGAAGTACGTCTGGCCGGCAGTGGCGGCACCAATGACGTCCCGCATCTATGGAGTGCAAGTTGCCATGACAATGTCAACCAACCACATTCAGCCTGCCTACGACTCATCAATTGGTATATCTCACACAGACATGGAAGCAACAGACACTGCTAATGTGGTTAGCGTTAGCATAATCTGCACTGTAGAACCTGTCCAATAAGGCTGGAGAACACGAAGACGCCGATAAAATAATTTGACATCTGGAACAGGATCTCGAAGACAGTCTGTGGGTCCGGCAAGCCTCCGATGTTGATGAGGGTGCGCACAGCAAAGTAGTAGCACCGCAGGTACCTATAGAGGACAGGCTTGTTAGGCTGTGGATTTGAGACACAGATAGAACACATGGGTAACATGAGAGCAATTGTGCTATATGGATCCATCAAAAAAAGATAGCAGGAAGTAAGGACAGAAGTTGACGTACGCGCTGCCCTCCCCATCATAGACCCACTTGGTTGAGCTGATGCCCTCGTAGTTTGACGCAACATAGTACAGACAGGCATTGATGTGCAGCAAGTAGAGCAGGTAGCCAATGGTGCGGGTCACTCTGCAACAGGAAGGGCAACACCAATTGGAAACGCAAGTCTGGTCATGTGGGTTGCACCTACTGGCCTGATTGGCCATCAGCGACTTGGATGGATTTCTTCATCTGTCCATCTCTAAACAGCATGTGTTCCATTTCGTACCTCCAGATGTAAGCCCTGCTCATGATGCTCTCCAAACGGTCACTGAACTCAAAGAAGGACTTGTGCTGGAAATGCAGAGAATCCCTCCATGTTAGTCCAGCCAAAATGATGTGTCACTTTCAGTGCAATGGCATTTAGCTCTGTTATGCTTCATGGGATTATGGGATCCAATTGTCCAGCACCTACCCGCAGCATACGGTTGACTCTGAACAATGATGTGAACCCGAAATGGAAGTACAGCAGATCAAAGGGGAAGACTGAGAATATGTCCACCTGTTCATGGGGAAAACAGGGAAAACATTACAACTGTATACACATTCCCATAGAACCAAAATATCAAAATAATTTCCCAAATTTACACTCTCTGGCCACTTTATTAGGTACACCTTTCTAATACCAGGTTGGACCCAGTTTTGCCTTCAGAACTGCCTTAATTTTTCGTGGTCTATATTTCGGCAAGGTGCTTGAAACATTCATCAGAGACTTTGGTCTGTTTTTGCATGATAATATCATACAGTGGCTGCAGATTTGCCAGCTGCAGCTACATGATGCACATCTTCTGTTCAACCATATCTCATAGATACTGTATCGGTGGTCATAAAGGGATGGACATGGTCAGCAACAATACTCAGGTAGGCCATGTCATTTGCACGATGGTTAATTGGTACTAAGAGGTCTAAAGTATGCCAAGAAAATATCCCCCACCACTTGTTAATACAAGGCAGGATGGATCCATGCTTTCATTTTATTTACGCCAAATTCTGACCCTACTATCTGAATGTCGCAGCAGATATTGACACTCATCTGACCAGGGAACTTTTCTCCAGTCTTCCATTGTCCCATTTTGGTGAACCCATGCCAACTGTAGCCTCTGTTTCCTGCTCTTAGCTGACAGGTGTGGAAACCAGTGTTGTCTTCTGCTGCTGTAGCCCATCTGCTTTAAGGTTTCATGTGCATTCAGGGATGCTCTTTTGCATACCTTGGTTGAGATAAGTGGTTATCTAAGTTACTGTTGCCTATCTATCAGCTTGAATCAGTCTGGCCATTCTTTCCCAATCTCTGCCATCGACAAGGCATTTTTGCTCAGAGAACCGCCGCTCACTGGATGTTTTATCTTTTATTAGCCCATTCTCTGTAAACCCTAGAAATGGTTGTGCCTGAAAATCCCAGTAGATAAGCATTTTCGGAAATACTCATACCTGCCCAACAACCATGGTATTCAAAGTCACTTAAATCACCTTTCTTCCCCATTTTTGTGTTTGATATGATCATTAAGCACCAGAACTGTATCTGAATGAATTTATACATTGTGCTGCTGACGCATGATTGGCTGATTAGATATTTGCTTCAGTGAGCACCTGAACTGGTATACCTAATAAAGTGGCCAGTTAGTGTGAAATTTGATTTATATATATATATATATATATATGTGTGTGTGTGTGTGTGTATATATATACAGTGCTTGAAGTGGGAAAAAATAAGTGCAGGAACTCTAATTTTCCGACATTTGACATTTGTGCGGTGAAAAAAAAATCAAGTCTGTAGGATGTGTTGGTTCAAAAACTATTTTAATTTAATCATTCTTCCAAGCAATAACCTATAGGCATAGGCTACTTTTTTCTAATTCACAAATGGAATACTGAAAAACCATTAAAACAACATGTAGTCTTTTATCGGTCTTGTGATATTGTCTATTCGCGGGCCACTGTCGCTGCGTCGGATCAGTTTCAGTAAGTACCCTACCGGAACGCAGAA